GATGGATGAATAAATTTTGAAAGCTTTTTGTGTCTCTTGTTGCTCATCTATTAACAATGTGTGGTATTTTGTATAAGTGCTGCAACTTCGAGATGAGCTAGGCGATTACACAATTGCAAAAGTACAGAAAAAGTACAGAAAGATTTGTTTACTTGATAAATATCCTCTATAATGTCAGTATATCCCGTGTCTGACTGACTCACAGTCACTCAGTCACTCAATCAGTCAATGTGGCCTGACATTGAGCACCGGCTGACTAGGCTTTTCCGACCAACTGAATTCCCCTCCTGGTTGTTGGGGAAGGGTTGGCTGGTTAACGGGACGGGTCACCTCTCTTTTGCTCAGCTCACCTAATTAACATTCCAGTGTAGGACAGCAGAGCTGCATCCCAAATCCAGCACAGGCATGCCTGGTCCTCCAGCGAAGCCCCATCTTTCTCAGCCTCCATAAACACAGGTTCAGGTTGATGAGCTGTGAGGGGCCACGTTCCCGCTGCTGTCACTGCCAGCATGGCTGCCCACTCTGTACGCTACTCTACTGTCACCCTCTGCAGCGAGACACTTCGGGTAACGACATGAAAGTTCATCTTTTAAGACCTTTTGTGAAAAAATCTTGAGAGGTACTTTTGTAGGACTAGGTATGAGACTGCAACAGAGTTGAACAGTTCTACTGATTTTTAATGCAAAAAAGGCACTTTCTAACTTGGCCCTTTCAACACATCAGTGACATGGGGTGACCTAAAATGTCTTAGAAATGTATTCAAAATTGACTTAATAGTCAGAGTCTGAGTTCAGTCTTTGGGCTGCATGACGTCTATTCAAAACATCTATTCCAGCTACGGGTCATGGCCCAAAGTGGATCTTGGCATTCCTTCTGTAAGGATTCCATATAGCAAGAGGTGTCATTATTTGCTTTTTATTCTGAAGAATAAATCTCAGAGGAGTAGATTATATTTCTTTTTAAATGCCCAGATGCTGAATCTTTTGTCCTGGATGGAACAAAAAGAGTTTTTGGCTCTGCTCTCTGTAAGAATGTGTGAGACACGCTTGTGATAAAACACTATATAAAGATAAATTAACTTGAGCTAGACAAGGATAGCTGCAGCCACATGTACCTCCTGGGCAGATCTCCTAAGTGCTGAACTTTGTTACAATGGCAGACAAGACACATGGGTGCAGTGTCATGTTGTGTGAATGAGATGATGAAACTGAGGTCAAGGAGGGAGCACGGGGCCTGTCAGGAGTTAAACCACAAATTTACAGTCTTCTCATTGAAGACATGTTCCAAGAAAGCACACTGTGCCTGTCTGGCCATCTGTATGACTGCTGTCAGTGCACTGGATCCACAACAACCATTGCCATTTAAGCGCTCATCAGATCTTGTGGTGGCCCAACCGCTTTCTTATTCTCTTGTTCTTTTTCTTTTCTTGCTGTTGTCCCCTTTCTCCAACCAAAATTAGCTCAGGCCATGAGAAGGGCCTAGAATAGGAGCTCAGACCCCCACACTGAGCCTCTTAAAGACCACAGCTGGAGCTGGCTCAAAGCGGGACAGAAGGAGAGGGAGGGCTGGATGATGAGTGTTATCGCCACCATCACCTGCTCCCTGTAAAGCAATTTGTTATAGAGTTGTCACTGTAAAATCCATAGCTTGTCCTGGGGTAAAGAAAGACAGGGTCACATGTAGTGAGGATCCCAGTGTGGCTCCAAATCCAGATATGACATAACTGAAGGACAAACAGCTGGGCTGTGTGTGTCTGTCTGTGATACTGAATAGAAAGACTAAATTTCCAAAGATTTGAACCTAGCAAAAGTTATATACATATTCTGAAGTATGCAATGTGATGTACACTTGTCTCAGAAAAAAATGACATCCTGATTTCCTTAGACACCAAATAATTGAGAATCCTGCTGAATTCCCAGATGACAAACATCTCACATTCACATTCAAAACACACCACTACATCCGCTGTCTGTGCTGTGGTATTTTTGGGCAGCTGCATTGTTATTGACCTTTACTTACATCCCCAACTAACACCCCTGGATTTGCACTTATTAAAATGACCTCACACACGCAGTATACACACAGCGTCTTGCCTGTGTCTTTCTCTACCTGCTGGGCACACACAGCACCAAGTGACCCACTGAAGTCGCCAAAAATGTCCTTGAGGTGGGGTCAGATGTTTCCACGTTGGCTCGATGAGACAACCCTCTTTCTGGATTGCGACTGTTGATATGAGCTGAACTACAAACATGCACTCCAGCAGCATTACAGGAGAGGTTCAAGTGCTTGGAGCTGAGACGAAGATATTCTACTCTCCCACCCTGAGTCACATGGCATGAAGGCAACTTCATTAAGTTATTAATCATTTTTTTGAATGTTAAGGGACTATACTTGGGTGCCTTACCAAATTTGGAGAAAGCACAAATTACAGCATATGACAGATGTGGGATATTGAGATACATCCATCAGGACAAACAGAACCTGTACATGCAGAAGACACATTTACGAGACACATTTCAAAATCCTCCAAACCCAGAAATGAGTCTCTTATGTTGGTTGGTGCTGAGGCTAACAGCACAACAACTCTGCTTTCTAAACACCAATCAGAGTAAACCAAACTCTAACACAATGTAAGGAACCCTGTTTGGAACAGTGGAAGGAAGAGACTAATGGGCAAAGCGTATCAAAAATAATATCTGGCGCTTAAAAAGGTATCAGGAATTGGCAGAATATCTCTCTCAATGGCAGAAAGCAAAGACAGATCCTAATTAAGTCCAGGCTCAGTGACCATAAACTGGCAATTGAAAAAGGAACACAGTAAAACTCATGGCAACCAGATGACCTTAGAATATGTGGTCACTGTTTTACAGATGAGGTTGACACAAAGATGCACTTTCTCCTACAAGTTCAACTCTGTAATTTTAAATTTCAGATAGCTACTGACCTCTCACAATTAAAAGATACTCATTGGAGAAGGAGACAGATGTCATGCCTTTACCTGAGGGACAATGAATGACAGACACACATGGTACCTGCACATGATGCACTGTACATAGATACTAACCATACATCAGTTTTAAGGTTGTAGTAATGTTCAAATTACTGATACTATGTAATAAAGTCAAAATATTTTGGCAGATTATATCTTGGTGCTTTAGAAGCTGTTTTTGAAAGTTTCATGCCAATAAAGCTCTTTTGAACTGAAGTCATGTCATAGGTCAACCACTAAACAGGTGTAAGAGGCTGCCTTTACTATACATGTACATGGACTGGATTTTCAAACCAGTGGCAAGTCTGGCTAAATTACAAGGCAAACATTTTTTTTCTCCCCCCTTTCACATCTGCCAGAAAAACTGGAGGAGACTTTTCTGGCTTCTGGCCTGTCTGTGCTTTAGTCCAGACAGTTTGGATGGGGATTTTCCCTCCTGGGACACCTCACATTTTCTCTCTTCTCCTTTTTGTGTAAATGGCACCTCCTTTGTCTGTGTGCAGTCCTCTTTCCACATTCCGTTAAATATGTTTCTCAAGCCCTGGCTCAAACCACTTAACATTTTGAACTCCCAGTTTGTGAGGGCTACACACAGCAGCAGTGGTGTTTTGATGTGTATAATCCTACATGGGCATTGGATTGAGACCAGTGGGTCAGCAGACATACGAAACAATGCAATGCCCCCTAGGAAGGATTTTACAGTAGGCTGTATCTCTATGGACACCAAATTCCTGTTTGATAATGTGTAAAAAAAAAAACATGCATGACTTCTCATAGCTGAAGCTTTCAGAGCAATACTTTGACCTTTATGATACAAAGAGGCAGCAGACATACCTACCTACTAACTTTGTATTCAAAGCCCCTAAAATGGTAGATAGTACGATGTTCGGACTAAAAATTAGGGCTGTAGTTAACATCTGTTTTCATTGTTGATTATTTTCTTGATCAATCGATTCGTTTGTTGGTCTTTAAAATGTCAGTCATTGTTTCCCAAAGCCCAAGTTGTCAAATGTCTTGTTTTGTTTACAATCTATTCAGTTCACTGTCATAGAGGAGGAAAGAAAACAGAAATCTGAGAATTTAGACTTTAAAAAAATTACATAGTTGATTAATTTATCACCCAACCAATGATTAATGGTTGCAGTTTCACTAAAATGTTCATTAAGGAAGAGTTACATGAATTGTTCTTCTCAATCACTATTAACACATTTTTGTGCATAAATGATTGAACATGTTTGCCACTGGAGGCCTTTTGGTTCACTTGCACAACTGATTGTTGACTGATCTAAAGATGAGTCTGCCTTTATTTACAGTTTTAAACACACAACTGAAAGCTAATTTAAGGAACTAAACTCTATTAAACACCAGTGTTTGAGCAGCCGAGAAACCCCGGTGGAATACTGCCTGTAAACTGTGGCAAAGCTATCGGGTATAAAATATGTTCAGATCGCTTGAGGGCATGCACACTCTCGCCCCCAGTGGGAATATTGCTGTGACAATACTGTAATTGAAGGCTGTGGCTGCTCGGTAGTGGTTAAAAAAAAAAGAAAAAGAAAAAGAAAAAGAAAAAAGTTGGATTCGTTGATTTGGAAACAGCAGCCATCGCATGCAGGGCCTGATTCCGACCGAAATCTCGCCTTCCTTGTTGTGTGTAGCTCTGCATACCGCTATCTGTAAATTTCTGACAAAGCAGGGTGGGTGTGGGGAGCAGGGAGGGGGTCGCGGACAGCTGACGCACCAGAGCGAAGCGCAGCGCGTTTCGGTGCGCATCTTCATTCTCGGCTGTTGGAGGAAAGGTGAGCGCAGTGTCTGTGCCATCCTCGGAAACACTTCTTCCACTGGACTGATTTAGGCAACATTTTATTTTATTTTATTTTTCATTTTTTATTTTATCAATTTCGGATTTCATAGTTTGCAACTTTCCGCAGCTTTCCTGATCTTCAATTCGGAGCGCAACAGCTGGAGAAGAAAGGTGAATTTCTACCAGATTGAGTCAATCTACGAAGGACTCATTCAGCTCTCTCATGAAGCGCAAACCCCAAAACCAATGAATATTATGGATGTACTGACAGAGACTCTGCGGCGCATTATCACAGTAGTCGGAGTTTAAAGGCACTTTTTTCCCCCTCCATGTGAAGTTTCTTTTGTTACCCGATGATGGACGGCGGACGGTCGTCAAGGACTCTCGCACCTGATTGTGCAGCCTTTGCCAACACATGAATGGAAGAAGCATGTTTTGTCTGGTGAAATCTCGGAGTTTATCAGACAGCAGCAGGGCTATGGGGATGAGAAATGAGGCAAAAAGCCACCACCACTCCAAACCCGTCTCCAAACTGTGCTTTAGCTTTATCTTGCTCCTGCTCATTTTCACACCCAGAGTGGATTCGTCGTGGTGGTGAGTGAGACTTTTGAAGAGCATTTGTTGATGCTTTGTTTAAGTTGATCACAAAGAATGAATTAACCGGCTGTAATATGCCAAACAATAATTCAAAAGTTTCATGCAGACACATAACCAACATTTTACAAATAAAATATTGCTGAAAGGTTGATTTAATTTACACCTATATTAGATTTTTTTTGTGTTACACCGTTGATTTTACATATCTACTTAATTGGAACCTTTTCCAGAATAAAGGTGGGACTACATATCCCATCCCTGCTTATTTCCTAACACACTTAAATAGGCTACCCACTTCACCAAAGCTCATGAAAGATGAGAACACTTTCATCTCTTTCCCTCTGTGTGGGAATTTTCTGCATGTGTGTTGATGGTTTTTTTTTTTTTTTTTCAAACATCAATGCAAAGGGAGATGTTCAGCACAGCAAAGTGTGTCACAAGTTTATGAAGATTAATGGTGTTGGCGGGAATCTCCCCCATCCATCCATCTTGCCCAGAGTAAGTGGCAGGTGCAGGCGTTGGTGCATGAATAAATGCCCCTTGATGATTTCTCTTGAGGTTTTTAAAGGCTCAGAGGAGAAGAAGAAGGAAAAAAATAAACACGCTGGAGAGTTGGAACCTCCCTTCAATCCCCCTCACCTGGAATAGTTGTTTCAGGTCACACTTAACAGAAAATGCATTTGATGTGCACTTAGTGTTTAACTAACCGAGGTAAAGTGCTTCTGTGTATTCTGCCTTTATCTCATATTAATTGCCCAGCAGCCCGTAACAGTTAGCCTCTGATTTTCAGATGGGTTAGACCCTGCACCCATGCACCCTTTATAAATAATATAATTCCTTCTAATTTCCCGAGAGAGTGTATTTGTCAATGTATAATTCTGTTATCCTATGCAAATATATTATAAACTGACTGATTGAATTGCTGAGAAATTCCAGAGAAAAAGAGAAAGACATACACAGGAGAGGCTTGTAAGCTTTGTGTCCAGATGATTAGTACTTACTTCACCCTGGTTTGTATTGTTTGGGCCTATCTTTAACCACTGAGATCATTTAGTTGAGTGCCATGTGTCTTGCTGCACAAGACCCACTTCTCTCGCTCTCTTCTAAGTGTGTGTCCTCTTGGAGACAGTCAGGGGTCTTTTGGCACAGCCGGTATGTACAACACACAATAAACACAAGTAGTGCTCCTGTTCTGCTTTACTGCTCAGGCAGATAGTCGCAGTTAGAATGGGACTGGGAAAGCCATAACAGGAGTGGAAACTGCCTGCTATGTCTGTTTCTGTCTCGGTGGCCGGGCGACACAAATGTGGCTGCGATTAGGGACTATAATGATATCCGGATGGAGAGTAGAGCGTGCAGGCTTAGAGAGGGAGGCAGAAGGAGGAGAAGAGGGGGGATTGTGCCATCATATGGTTGATCTGTGAGGCTGGGAGGGAAAAGGCCTGACTTGTACTGTAGATGACTGTCCTCATGTCTTGTTGACAGGAGTCCCCCCAGTGTCACAATGCCACCAGCATGTGATCCACCTCCTTAAGAGTTACTACAAAGTTAGGGATTATGTCTGAAAAAAAAGCAGGAAGCAAAAGCTTTTCACTGAACGTGAGGAATTTAATAATCTCTTTAACATCCTGAATATCTTCATCTAAAGTAGACAATGGGTATGAATGAGTAGAAAAACAGGAACACTTGGAGTAATCCAATCAATAATCTCAATTAAACCAAAAATGTGAAATTTTAGAGAATGCAAATTTGCTTCATTAATTGGTTGAAAAAGTATATCGTGAATGTTAGACAAATATCAAGTTAAAGCCAGCAGCTACCTAACAGAACACACTTAGCACGACTCTCTGTCTAAAAGTAACAAAAATCCCCCTGTTGGCTTTGCTACAGCCCAGTAATTACAGTTGAATGTTTTTGCATGTTTGTTTAATCCAAAAAAGAAACTGTAAAACAAGAAATTGGCATTTTACCACAATTCTTGGTCTCAATGCATAGGCTTCATATACAAACCCCATTTTAAATGGCAAATTCACATTTTTTACACTTGGATGCAAGTGTAGATGCAAGTATATTGCACTTTCAGTAAGTCTGAGGACTTGTGACAGATGGACATCCAAGCAACAGCCGTCAATATATCCTTGCTTTATACAGTACATTACCCATATTACAACTCCAAAGACTTGGCTCCGCCCTCCATGACTGATAAACTCCTCAATCTTTGAGACTTTGTTAGAAATGTGTGGCCTTTGGAGCTGCAGTCACATCACAGAGTACATATAAAAGATGAATGGAGCTACTGAGACACAACCCGCCACCCGAGCTTGAGGACACTATGCATAGCAATACAGTAGTTTATCATAAGGCAGCCTCACTTTAAAAAAAAAAAAGACCCTGATTTATCATCCATTTTCATCTAAATAGGGCCATAATTTACAAAGTGAACATCATTCTGAATTTATGTCTTAAAACATAGCAACTGAGACCATAAACTCTTTATAGTGATAACACATCAAGGATCATTTTCTCATAGACTTCTGGGCAACTGGACTTCTTTTTGTAACTTGACGAGTCGCCCCCTGCTGGCTTCTCTGTGTTCGCTTCTTTTTTTAAAACTCGGAAGACACAACCATATTTAATATTTATGAGTCAGACCGGATGTTTTGGTTGTACGTACATGCAACATAAACTTTAGAGATGAGGCACGTTAGGCACTTAGCAGCGTGGGTAGCACTCCATTACTGTCCTAATGCTCATCTCATTTCCACTGTGAAAGAAGAAGAAAAAAAGAATAGAAACAAACAATATTTCTTGCACAATGGGTTGGTCCCCTCTCTCTCGCAAACACTGGAGCACCAAACAATTTTGTGTGTCAGAGGTTAGTCTGACTGAAGGTGGCAGATGAATTTGTGATTAAAAGTAAATGGGTGTCATCTACAAAGAAGAATTCAAAACTAAATCCAGACTGACCTTAAGATCATTTAGCAACAACTCTATCCAGAATTTTTTTTTTGTCAACCTTGACAAAGCTCCTTTAGAGCCACAGAAGACAAACTGCTCTCAACAGGCTAAGTGTAGATGAACAAATTGAATTTCTCATGTGAAATCAGTGGAGCTCCCCTTCAAATAAACATCAACACTGTGTTTGCTGGATGTGTGTCTGCAGGTACATTGGAGCGCTGGGTGCTCGGGTGATATGTGACAACATTCCTGGCCTCGTGAACAAGCAGCGACAGCTCTGCCAGCAGCACCCGGACCTGATGCAGTCCATTAGCGAAGGAGCCAAAGAGTGGATCAGAGAGTGCCAGCATCAGTTCAGACACCATCGCTGGAACTGCAGCACGCTGGACCGAGACCACACAGTGTTTGGCAGGGTGATGCTGCGAAGTGAGTCTGCACATGCGCCGCCAGGGGGGGTTCAATCTGTGTGGGTTTTTTGTGCGACAGTGGTTGTTTATGTCAGTGACACTCTAGTTAATCATCCTTGTAAAAGTCTGCTCTGTTCCCAGATAAGCAGAGAATTAATAGGTGTCTTATTAAATCAGCTTTACCCTGGAATACAAGCAGAAATAGAAAGTGTTCTTCTCCGGAATGAGTGAAGATTGGGAAAGTGGATGTTCTCTGAAAACAAGTAGCAGATTGAGAGATCCACACTGGTGATGTATAAACAGTAATAGGAGATGTAAATATTTGGGTAGATGTTTCTGGCAGCCAGACGAAGCTTTACTCCCTGACATATCGCCTGTGTTCTGCTTCATTGCGTGAGCAGGAATGAGAGCAGGAGGAGGGTGGGACAGCCAGACCAAATAACCTCCAAAATCTCCTCTTGTCTGAAATGAAAACACAGCCCAGTGACTGAGAAAGCTGCCATCTGTGCAAATTAAAAGGTGAAAGGAGAGTAGGCTGGACTGTGATGTTATAGCTGACATGTTGCTACCTCTGTCTGGACCATCCACCATAAATGGACTGATTTCGGCGTTCCCGCTGTCAGGAACATACTGGGAGAAGGTTGCTTTACCCAACAGTGACACAGTGAACTTGGGCATTTATAGAACTGCTTAAATGTAACATAATCAGAGTTATGGTGTTAAGACAACATTTACAATGCTGTCACATATAAAATAAATATGGTTGTAATATACATTTCTTTTCCTACAATAATACGTTAGTTTCTGATGTATAATTGCAACACCTCTTTTTCTCATCCACCCAGGCAGCCGAGAGGCAGCGTTTGTGTACGCCATCTCTTCAGCTGGAGTGGTCTACGCCATTACCAGAGCCTGCAGTCAGGGGGAGCTTAAGATCTGCAACTGCGACAGTAACAAACGAGGGCAAACGAGCGACGACAAGGGCAACTTTGACTGGGGTGGATGCAGCGACAACATCAACTATGGCATAAAATTTGCCAAAGCCTTCGTAGACGCTCGTGAGAGGATGGTGAAAGATGCTCGAGCGCTGATGAACCTCCACAACAACCGCTGTGGTCGAATGGTGAGCAGCAGCAGTTTTGATATTTGATCTTCAGCACCACAGTCAGGAGGCATTTTTTTTTAGACTAGTTTTAATATTTAGATTTACAGTCCTACTGTGCTGTATAGCTGTGTTTAAAGAAAAAAACACTGAAAGAGTTGTGCAAAGTTTTACAGTTAAACAAACAAGACTTAAAACATTGAAATAATGAAATGTACATCTATTTGTTAACTTGAAATTTACCTCATGTAACTAACTAGACACCACTAATTAGATACAGGTTCAATTTCACATAAATTTGTATTTCAAATAAAATTGGGTGTTTTCACAATACATGCCAGGGGATGATTTTTTTGGTGGAGTTTCTAATAAGGTACAGCATTTTAGACCATTGTACCATGGGTAATCCTGCTATACATTTTGAGAGAAATACTGTGTTTTATTGGCTTTTTCTAGAGATTTCAGCAGATGGAGTTAGAGTATTAAATTCTATTGTAGAGTGACAACCCAGTGCGCTCATAAACACTACGAAGTGTGACTGAAAACTCCAGGGAAGGCTACCATTATCGAGATCAAGTGTTTGACATGATTAGACGAAAAATACCCAACAGCTTTTGTTTTTTGTTTTTTTTAAATCTGTGCCTCAATTAGGGATTCAAATAATGATTATTGTTATAATGTATTATTCTACTGATTATTATGCAATTAATTGTTTAATCAGTTGGTTTTGAAAACAGCTAAAAAATATTGAAAATCCTCAACAGAATTGATCAAAAATTTATTTAAATGTTTTGAATCAAAGTTATTTAATTGGCAATAAAGTAAATGCAAAAAAAAAAAAAAGAAGTACATTTTAATATTTGAGAAGCTGGAACAATCTAATGTTTCGTTTATCTGCTTGAAAAATGGCCTAAACAATTAATCACTAAAAGTAATTGCCGATTAGATTTTGATTGACTTGTCAGTTAATCATCTTATTATTGTGGCTCCAATCTCAGTTGACTTTCCAGGAACTCACAACAGATATATTAATGTGAAAAAACACAATATAGAACTAATCTATTGTTGCAGCAAAACAAGTATACATTAGAATACACTCGAACTTGCTTTTACTTAGTAAATTGAGATTATGATTTAACCCTTGTATTGTTTAAAGAAGTCTCTGGAGTAACAGAAATTAAGATCTAGTCAGAGTTATGAACATTCAGCCAACAATTGCTCTCGCAGGGACCTACATCATGCCATGGGCAACATCGCAGGCTTAACACCTTGTCACCTTTGACCTCTGCTCCAGGCAGTGAAGCGCTTTATGAAGCTGGAGTGCAAGTGTCACGGGGTCAGTGGCTCCTGTTCTCTGAGAACCTGTTGGCTGGCGATGTCGGACTTTAGGAGGACTGGAGACTACCTACACAAGAAGTACAACACAGCCATCGAGGTGACCATGAACCAGGACGGGACAGGCTTTATGGTGGCGGACAAGGATTTCAAGGGAAGCACCAAGAACGAATTAGTTTATGTCGAGAACTCTCCAGATTACTGTCTCATGGACCGAGCAGCAGGTGAGTGGAAGAATGAAGAAATAGATTTTGCCAGTGTAATTGTAAAAAAAAAAAAAATTCTATTTATGAAGTACAAATTGACATGCCATGCAAGAAGTATGTAAATAAACAGGGCCGCGTAATAATTACAAGAAACATAAGCTATGCAGCACATTCTGAGCTCATTGCTGTTGACTGTATTCATAAAATCGTTTTCCTGAGCACCTCTTTTGGTACTTAGTCGTTGTTACGTTTTAAATTTTTTTATGGTTTAAACACAATAATAAATATATATGGCAGTTCTGATTTTGTTATATAAACATATAACATGAATGATTACTTTTTAGGAACTTTTTTTAGGAATTGTGATTACGGAAGGTAATAAGCAGAAAACCTGACGTCTGAAAAATTTGCTTCTCTGTACTCTCTGTTGTAAAAACAGAGACAAATGACATTCAGCGAGTCAGTGAAGTACTTTAAAGCTTGTAATAAATAACTGAATGGATTTTAAAATGAATTATTGCTGCAAAAAAAAAAAAAATCAAATTTTCATACAGAAATATGAGTACATTGTTATGAGACAAGACAAACAGATGGTTGACCCTGTGTTAGTTTTACCAAATCTACGAGAATCCGAGCCTCGCCCACTGAACGCTTGCATTCCTTCACAGCTTAAAGTTCAATGATTTGACCTTTAACATCTCTTTAATTCCTAATGTTTGCTTTACCTTGTTAGGCTCTGGCTCCTCTCTTCCAATCTAGCCCCTTCAGTAGAGCATGAAGGAGCCCACTACCTCACTGTTAATAGGTTTGGCAAGATGGCATGTGCAGGGGACATGATGGTACTAACTTAACAGATTCTTCCACTCCTCCCTGCAGTTAGCTTGGTTGCACTTTGACAACTGAGGGGTAAAGAGGGTGTGTTCACTCAAAGGAAAGGCTGTCTTTCCTTGTTAAAAGGTGATCTCAAAAGAAGCCCATGACCCTCCTCACCACTAATCTCCATTGTATAGGAATTCACAGCCTAGGGATACATGCAGGCTTATTTTTCAAATCCTTACTTTGGTCAGTGTTAAGCTCCACTCTTGAGAGCCTGAGGGGAATATCTCCTCTTATCCTTTTCTCTTTACTTCGGATGCACTGTTATTAGACCTGGCATCTGATCTTAGGCTTACACTTTACACCTGAGCACATGGACACAATTGTGTTTGGGTCTGAGGCTGTTCTGTCTGGAAGTCTAAACCCTGCTGGAAAGTGTGGGAAAAGTGATATTTCGTTTCACTTGTCAGCATCAACATATCCATTGCTATACAGAGATGGTAACCTGCCAGCATCAGCTGCTCTTGACAGCTACGTCATCAGAGGAAATTTTCCAAAATGAAATTTAGTTGAGTTTATATTCGACTAGGCAGTGATGTTGATTGGAAAGAAAATCAAAGTGTTAGAAGAAACATCCTATTGAACTGTTAAAACTATTGTAAGTTTAGACCCGATAATGGCACGAGGGGAAAAGTCAGTGCCTCAGTAAAGTTCTGAAAACACAAGTATTTACATCATAGTGGCAGTGGAAGCCACATTGAATGGCAAGTCATTGCGTTTCATCCTCTATTCACCAACCAAATAACCACAACACAGCATTGTCATTCCTCAAGCTATGCTGGTAGTATAGCATTTTCTTGCAACGTTCATTTGTACCAGTTAAGACCCAATAAGCAGTTACAAAAATCAATATTATTTAAAAAATATTTCTATTAACATAATTATGATATTAACTTGATAGTCTCAATCAGCAAGACATTCGTTGCAGGCCTTGTCCACAAAAACAGGGATGTTTTTCCCCTCCTTCACTTACAAAAAACAATCTGAGAATGCAAAAAATGCAAAAACACAATTGAAGTTTTGCCAAGACTATGACAAACCAGCAATTGCTGATATACTATACCCTAGAGCCATGCTGGCCAATCACAAACCTGAAAAAAAAGCTTGGCTATAACTAGTTCCGGTTGACTGCCAACAAGGCCACATCAAGGAAAGGGGGGATTTTGTGTGTGGACTGATTCTGACACCTCTGTTCCTCCAAATAGTGAAAGAGTAACCGTATAATTATGCATAAACATGTAAAAAGTCCTATTAAGAAGGTTAGCATCAGCATTATTTTGGCCATATTCACCTTGTCTACATGTCAGCACTGCAACCAGATGGTGTTTTCCAAATTTTTAGTTTTTAGTGACCTAAAACTGTGTTTGTGAATGTACAAAAGAGCAAAATGTAACCCATGTTAAAATCTGACATAAATAAGAATAAATAGTTGAACAAGAACTGCATAAATAAGTTTGAAAGATAAAAGTGATTTATTCCTTAAAAGGGCAGCGACTTAATTTTTTGTCAACAGACTTTTAATTTTCAACACTGAATGATTGTTGTATTAACATTTTTAATTAACTCTGATGAAGTAGTTAACATTAAATAAATCACTTTTATCTTTCAAACTTATTTACACAGTTCTTGTTTAACTATTTATTCTTATTTATGTCAGATTTTAACATGGGTTACAAAAATGCATTAAAAAAAAAAAAATTAAAAAAAGCTATGTTTTTGGGAGGACGGCACGATGGAACAGCACTGTTGCCTCACAGCTAGGTCTTGGGTTCAATTCTCGGCCTGGGGTCTTTCTGTGCAGAGTTTGCATGTTCTCCCTGTGCTTGTGTGGGTTCCAACCAGGTGAGATGCTGAGGTTAATTGGTGATTCTAAATTGTCCGTTGGTGTGAATGTGAGTGTGCTTAGTTGTCTGTCTCTAAGTGTAGCTCTGTGATAGACTGGAGACCTGTTCAACGTGTCCCCTGCCGTCTCCCAAAGTCAGCTGGGATAGGCTCCAGCCCTCCTGCGACCCTACAGAGGATAAAGCGGTGTATAGATAAAGCTTAGATGGAAGTCAGGGGATGCAGCCAGACAACTGAAGTGTGACTTCTAGAAGAAACCATTAGTTTAACATTAAGGTCAATATTTCCTATACCTAAAGTTCTACACAGAGTTTCCGACCAGCCTTTTGGAAAATGGAGGAAGAGTAAAGTTCATACATCAAAACTGCAGCATGTTTACTCTTTCTTCATCTCTTGACAGGCTACCTGGGCACAGCGGGCAGAGTGTGCAACAAGTCCTCAAGAGGCACAGACGGCTGTGAAGTCATGTGCTGTGGACGAGGCTATGACACCATGCGAGTGAAGCGTGTCACCAAGTGTGAGTGCAAGTTCAAGTGGTGCTGCGCTGTGGAATGCAAAGACTGTGAGGATGTGGTGGACGTTCACACCTGCAAGCCCCACAAGCGACCTGATTGGCAGGATATAACCTAAGCGAAGAGACCTGACCAATCACAGGCACCACTGACTAATTAACCTGAAATCGCTAAAGACTACCTTATAGTTGGGATCGTGTAACTGTAATACCTCTGGCTTCGACGCTTTGATACTTCCTGAGGCAGAAACTTCACAAACCTTTGTTGAATGATGGTAAACTGGAAAATAGGCCCAGTTACTGATCATGTGCTGCTTTAAGAACAATTTCTTGAAACTTTGATACAAAAATGGCTAAATATTATATTCTGTTGTAAATGCATCCTTGGCTGAGGCAGATATATGACATAATGCCTGCTTGTTTTACAGTATGTAAAGACTGTGTAAGCATAAGACATGAGAAATATGATCATAATAATAGTAATATTTAGTCTGAAGTGAGAGCGAGAAAAGAAAATAATGAAGAAATCTTTTGAAATATTGTACAACCACTGACATCACATCATTTCATATGACTTCAAGTCATTGTATGGTACTGCAACAAATCACTTAAAATAGAACATACAGTTGCTGCTAGTTAGTGTACCTATCAAACTAACAAAAAGTCAGAGGGCACTTATGAAAAGCTCTTTCTTAATTACAAGCCACATACTCACACTGTGAACCCGAAGGAACCACACACAAGGAAGCAAACAAGGACTTCCAGTTAAAGTGTAGCCTAGTTGCTGCAGAGTTGGATTTTGGTAAAATGTTGGTTGAAAAAAAAAAAAAAAAAGGACACACGGACAGAAAAAAAATGAAGCTTTATATGAACTTTGGACTGTTGTTTGAAAAAAGTCTTGTACAGTATGCTGCATATTTGACTGTAATAAGTCTAACACATTCTGGTTGTGTTGCGTCATGGAAAACTTTCTTGTTTCTACCTCTGGTTATTTGTCTTTGCTTCCATTTTTCCCCAATACCTTCAAGAAACAGTCATAGGCCATGTTCAGACAGCACTGCAAAAAAAACAACACGGCCGCCAAGCCATTTCAAGTGGGCACTGATTGCAAAATAATGTCAAAAATTTGAAGTTGGCTCCACTTTTGCCACAAAACAGTACAATGTCGTCCAACAAGGCACTGCATAGGCCAATCAAATACACAAAACTGCACATTCGACACTCATCACAGGATAAACTTATTTTTGAGATGATGACTTTCCAAAGTTATAAATTCCTGTGTCATAATATTTCAAAGTGCAAAGGCAGTCAGTACAAATGATTGAAACCGGCTGTCCTGGTACCTCACTGGAACCTTAAACAACCCCGTCCCAACTACTAACAAGCACCCTTGCAATTTTTTGACCCTGTTAGTTATTATCATTAAAATAGTGTCAGAATATTAGAACACATTCTACCTGAACCAGTCTAAAATCTGATGGGTTTTATTTTAAGTTTGCAAATGAATCTTTTTGCATTTCTTTGTCCTCATTACAAAAGTCAACACAGCATGTTTCTTCTGTCATCATATTGTGACAGGACACTTTTATAATGTGATCTTACGCAACTGCGCTCTCGGTCCTTTGTGCACATATTCACTGGTTCTGGCTGGTTGAGAAGTGAAGTATTTCATGAAGCTGGGCCAAGACTTGAAAAAAAGAGCAGTGAAGTAGCTATAGATCTCGACTTCCTCACATCTGGAAATGCAGCCAGGCATCATGTGAGGCCATTGGAGACACAACCCCCAGAGGGGTTTAAAGATCTAAATGAGTCTGACAACAAGCTGTGAGCGCTAAGAGTCAACAAATTGTTTCAAGTTCACGTAATGAGAGGGAGAGCCAAAATGAAGTGCTTCAAACAAAGCCAAATGACACACCGAGTCAGAAGTTAATTGCAAGCAAAACAGCCTGGTTTGAATGTAAATGAAGAGCATGTTGGGCGTGTTTTTGTTAAAAATTAGAAAGGTGAAAGTTGTTCACATCGTGTGGGCCGAACTGGGCCTGTGCTGTTTTGCCTCTCAAAAAAAGTAAAGCACAGTATTAACAATCTGTCTGTTATAAAACTTAACATTTTATAATAAAACCTACAATGGAAGCTACTGGGATTGCACTGTATACTATAAATCCTGATCAATAGAGGCTGAATCTCAGAATTAGACTTTGTTTGAGTCTACTGGGTCTAATATTCAAAAATTTTAGGGCTGATAGCTGAAAGTTCAGGGTGTGTATCACACAGGTGTAAATTCTATCAGCAGTGAGTCGGTGGTTCAGTTTCTCAACAGCCCTCAAATGGGTGTCCCTTCCCTGTTCCCTTCCCATTTCCTCCCTCAAAAAAACATCCATCCATCCATCCATCCATCCATCCATCCATCCACTATCTGTACTCCGCTTAATCCTCACTAGGGTCGCGGGGCACTGGAGCCTATCCCAGCCGACTTAGGGTGAAGGCAGGGGACACCCTGGACAGGTCACCAGTCCATCACAGGGCCACACTTAGAGACAGACAACCAAGCACACTCACATTCACACCTATGGACAATTTAGAATCACCAATTAACCTCAATATGTTTTTGGACGTGTGGGAGGAAGCCGGAGAACCCGGAGAGAACCCACGCTGCACGGGGAGAACATGCAAACTCCATGCAGAAAGATCCTGGTGCCCCCACCAGGACGGGAACCACCATCTTGCTGCAAGGCAACAGTGCTAACCAACTGCGCCACCTTGCAGCCCCTCAAAAAAACAATCTTAGAAAAATTATAGTTGTACACATTAAAATATTTTAATTTCAATTCTAATTTTGTTCCATTTCAATCTGTAGAAAAAATTATTTCTACCCAGTATGAATACCATGACGTTTTAATTAGGACTGATGGTACATTCTTTCATCCAAGTCATCCTTTTAGTCTGTCGAAGTTTGGTGCAGCAGTGTCTTCGTGTGTATGAGTGTCTATGGAGGTATTTTCACCTTGGAAACGCAGGTCCCAAAATATCGTACTGGTTCTATATTAAACCTTGTTGATCCACCCTCTGTCACTCCGATTAGAGGTCTTCCGTTCTCTTCAAGCTCATATGGTCTCTCATGCGTTAGCTTTGCTTCAGCTATGGCATGGACAGGATAAAAATAATGCAGCCGACCAGGTTAGTGTTTTAAAGTTCAGTCAGTTCAATGCCAGGTAATTCCAGAGTATATTTTCCAGTAACGTAAAAAGACTGGCAGATGGTTGACGTAGATAGCAGGAGAAAATAGGTCACAAAATATCCCTTAAATCCAATATACATAAAACATTATCTGTGAGGTATATTCAAAACGCGCAACTTTCTTTACAAAGTACTTTTTTATCATTTAGTAAGTTTTGACTAAGCTGCACACATCAGATTTTTAATACTTTGTTGATCTTTATATTTGTCATCGTATCTGCGATGCTTTGTCCTCCAGTGTGTGCGATCCAGTTGAAGTCTGTAAAAATAACAGGAGCGGCATCGCAGGCATTCTCTGCCATCATAGTGATATCAAATGGGCATCTCAATTTAACAACATTTCAGAGCTAAAAACGGTCCCAGGGGATGCCGCGGTCCACATGGATGTTTCACATTCATGGAAACCAGAAGAGAGACATGTTGTAATCCATGCTCACAAATTATAAGGAGTCAAGAACAATTCAATGTTCTGTCATTTTCATACCAAATGTGTTTAATTTTCTCCTCGTCTGATTAGCCCTCCGGTCCAAAACATTACACTCCATCCAATCATATGATTGATCTCTGTGATTTAGAGCAATATGGGAAACAAGCTGATATGTATACGTTGTGAAACTGTTGCTCTCTTGACTATTTAGAACACGAGTTGAAAATTTTTGGCGAAATGTCTGTGTAATTTCACTGTTTTTCTTGGAAGAGAAGGTGGCCCTTATGACCCCATCAGAATTAATTAAGCGCTTTATGTGGACATGAAATTGGACGTGACCATAGCTGCTATAGTGTAACATATTTATTATTTGCCAAGTGATGTCATACACATTAGTTACTCAGAGAAGGAGTAAACTCAGATATATTTCTCACATACAGGATGTTTCTATAGATGGAAGAAAAGACTTACACATTTTAGGTGTCTGGTTGACTCCCAAATCCACGGTGACATACAGCAAATAAGCATATTAAGGTTCAGTGCTTTTCTTAAGGGTAGTTAAGGGACACGTGTGTGTTTAATAGTCATAATAATCCTGAAATTCATTCAGCCACCTCACATGCTGTGGATTTATTTTGTAAATACAGTATGTGAAAGGCTGATGTTTGGTATTTGGGCACAAGACTAAGGAGAAATAATACAAACATCCCCCTTAATGCCACATTAGATACAATGTGTGATACCAGTCCTTCAATAAAATGTATCTTACTGATGCGGCACATTACACCTCACAGCAGATTGCAAAGGGAAAACGCTCTCTTGTGAAAAGATATGAGTAAATGTACCATTCATCCTCCTCATGTGCAATGGCAGACTAAGACAAATGATGCAGCAGGTAATTGCGAGCGAAATGAATGGCTTGAGCAAACACAATGTCCTTCCTTTTATGTCATACACACTGATAGGCAGCAGCCAGCTTAAATTCACAGATATAATGCCAAGGTAGGAAATGAGTGCAACAGGAGCATAAACAGGAGCTCAGGAAACAAGAATGTAGAGAAAATGTCAGAAATGACTTGTAATGTTTGTTGCAAAACTGTACTGACTTTGCCTTCTGAAAGCAATCATATAATATTACACTGACAGCAGGAAACCACTCGAGACAACAGGAGCCTGAGGGGAAAATATGCCACTAAACCACTTCAGCCCTCAAAATACTGAAGCATGAGGAGTCATATTTTGCCATTTTCAAACCAACAACATAAAAGCACCAGAATTGCCAAAAAAAAACCAAAAACAACAACAACCAAAAAGTGAAAGATGAAAGCACAATATAATAGCACAGATCTAAAGCAATTCAGTAACAACAGGGTTACTGATTCTGCAAAGCACAACAGAACCATTACTGAGGACACACATTTAAGAAAAGGCAGCACAGCACTTACCTGAGAAGTGTGAAGACCCATGTGGTCCTCATCGCTAACAGGAAAACTGCTTCCACTTTCAAACTGCATTTGAGGCCCAGAGCTCACGATTTAACTGGTTAATGTTCAATTCCAGCAGCAACAGGATTATACAACTACATGACAGCATCACTGAAAATACAGGTTTGGACCATCAGCAGGTAAAGTTTGTACCTGCTACATTAGCAACAGGTGGCTGCAGAACAGGTGGAGCAAAAACAGTGGGAAGGGACAGGTTAAAAAGCCTGCCTGACCCCAAAGGGTGTGTTGGATGTGTGTTGCAGTACATAGAGTACGTCACATGTGAGTGAGACGGTACGTTTGATAAGATGAATGAAAAAGACTCACCAACCCAGTTGTCCAGTGTTGTCTGATCAACAACTCACTAGGTGGTTGTCAGGAAAAATATATATAAACCACCCAGACATAAAATACCTCACACTGTTAGGATTTATAACTTGCAAAATCACATTTCACATGGTGCTTTCTTGGAAAGGCTCAATGTAGACACAGTGAAACAGACCCATGGACAGACATAACACATGAGCAGTATGTTCTTTTACTCCCAGAGACAGTTCAACACTTACTGTATGTGTGACCTTCAGGGACACACTTGGCACAGATCCCAGGCCACAAGAGTTCATTAATTCATCATGTTAGTGAGCTTACTAGGTTGGCAACAGGGTATTAAAATCTCTTATTTAGTGGGTCAACTGTCAGGACTACTTCCTTCCACTGGAGGTTTTACGTGTCTTGTGTGGGACATCACACAGACACAATATGACACCGTTTGCCACCTGTGGAGCTTTGCACAAACCCCCTAATCATCATTTTAGTATTGTATGTTTTTACTAAACCTACTGGTTGTGGGTACAAATTATGTTTTTCATTTTATCATAAATGCTGTATGGAGATGAAATGAAATCGCTGCTGTATTACTCTCTTGTTGTCATTCTTATCTTCTATTTTCGTTCTCTTTTTCACTGCTACTGTGACTTTGAAGCTCTCTGCTGCCGAGGTCAGTGAGCAATTCAAGTTTCTACGTGCGGCATGCAACCACCGAGAGCAAACACTCGAGGCCCAGTCAAAAGTCCTCAACAGCGATTTTCATTACTGCTGCTCACCACTTAAGCATGAGAGCACAAAGTAAGATTATGGAACCAGTAATTCACTGAGAACATGCCACGTAAAAGCATCTGCTGATGGTGGCAGAGTGGTATAATCATTACAATGAGCATGATGGCCCTTGGCTTTATATAGCTAGAGCAGGGTGCCACAGTGAGTAGTTTGTCTTTGAACAAGACACAATACTGATTTTGAAAGATGAGAGGAAATAACTTTCACCGTATGACAAACAACATTTCTACCTTTCACTTCATGATATAGCTGTGATTCCACAGGTCTGTTAATTGGAATCAAAAACATAGCTTCTTCTGTATGTACCCATTCATTTATGAAAGATGACTTTAGATTTTTTTTCAATATATAATAAGCACCTTTGCAACAAAATCAAAATAAAGAATCACACATGCAAGGAAACTGCACTGAATGAGTAATTTATTGTAAGTTTTGCTTTCAAACTCATCCAAGGGTAGTTACAATTGTTCACGCAGTCTCCTGTCTTCAGCATGTACGACTAAAACTCACCAGTGTCAAATTCAAAGCAGAATACTTGTAGTTGAGAATTGTTACCAATACAATCTAAAATTGAAACACACTATAACAGCACACATTTACGTGCCACTCCATAATCACCAGTTGTTGTTTTTTTTCCCTGTAATTCTAATCACTGGGGAATCAATAATTTGTTTATATCTATCGAGCTGAATCCATCAAAATTGAACAGAGTTGCTAAACTTCACATCAGTATTGTGGTAAATGCCAAATAGGTGTTTAGTTAGTAGTAGTTTGGTAGTTTAATGTACTAAAAAGGCACTTCACTATCACCACATTGTCTCTGTTATCACATACGAAGTGGGGAGTTGTCAGTACAACCGGAGACATGAGTGAGCTTGAGGCTGCAGCAGCCACTGATAATGTAATAACTAACTTGTGTTAAATGGTTTCAGACGTTATAAAACCTGTTGATGCAATAAATAGTTGGGATGATGAGTCATCACAGTATTACTGTACAATACTTTACTGATGTATTTTCAACATTAAATGTTATTACATTCTTTGCAGTTTTACTCTGTTTGTGGTGCAGAATAATATGTATATAAATACTACATGAACAGGTCTTTTCTTTTCCTTTTTTTTTTTTTTTTTTTACAAAACAGACCAGACACAGTTGTTTCTGAAAAGTTATTACAATATCAGTCAGTTATTACATGAAGTGGCACCGATATCTCAGCATATTGAGTTTGATTAAAAAAAAAAAAAAAAACAGAGACATTTTTCAGAGAGGGCAATGTTCATATCACCAAACCAATTGCAGTAGACTCACCTACTGTATATTTTTGGGGTAAAATTACTTAATATGTCTGCAAATGTTAATTCCAGCTTTAAATTCTCCTTTGCATATAAGCAGGTAGTAAAAGTGACCAACTGAATATGCTGTCAGTGCATTATGAGAACAAGAGAGTGAACTCTATTACATTTAGAATAACTGTAATCGTATGTCTTAAAGATATTTGTTGCATTGTGTGTGATGCATGGCCTCTGTTATATTTGTTTACCCAATGACCAGCCCACTGAATGATAGAATGCGTAGTGCAATCATCAGAAATGAGTGATGCCATGAGAGGCCTTGCTGTGACCAGTGATGGTCCCATTTACATTATGATGTTGTGTGGGGCGCCAGTTGCCCCAGTGATATAGTGCTGAGGTGTCATGCCTTGGTAACAACTGTTGAACTGCAGAGAAGATGTATACACTGCAGCCACTCTGAGGCTGTAAATCACTGCTCTGTTTTCAGGAGGTCTCACAGACTTTTAGATCTGCCCCACTGGATGTCTGTGAGGCACTAGGTTGATATAGGACACACAGGTTCCCATTTCAAATATTATATGGAATCTTTCGGATGCACATAATCATGCTGAGAAAAGAGATGAATGTGATAACATGTATCCATAAACAGATATTATGCAAGAGAAATCCTTCACATACACATTTGTTGTCTTTCACACACTGGTAGAAACAAACTCATCTGTCACAGAAGGAGATAAAATCATGCAGGTTTTATGGTTTAAATTATTATTGTGAGAAGAATGGCCAAATTTAGAGCCAGGCTTTGTGGGATCTTGAAAAATTTAGAATTTCCCCAAGTTACTATCATGACAAGTGAGTGACCCTGTGAAATTGTTGCAAATGGTATTCGCCAAATGTGTTCTTGGAAAAACTCTGTCTGTTGGAACAGTGTGGGAGAGCATCTTAGGAGTGGTATTGCTGTGTTGATACAAGCTCAGCCAACATAATCAGTAACAATGCAGCAAGTGGACAGTAATGCTGAAGACAGGAGAGCAAACACTTTTTGTCTGAGGGTTTGGAGTGGTACTGATGTGTATGTGTGTGCGTGTGTGTGTTTGTGTGTGAGTGTGAGATGGGGTCAGATCCGAGTCAGCTGGTGCCAAAAACTGGACGGCATGAAGCTTTCCATCTTGTCTGCAAAGAAACCCAGGGGTGCAAAGAGTGTGCTGAAGAACTGAGAGGGACAAAAAGCAGAATTAACTTTCAGTTAAACAATAATTATACTTCCATTTTAGATAATGTTCACTCCTCTATAAATGGTAAATGGTAAATGGTCTGCACTTATATAGCGCTTCTATCCAAAGTGCTTTACAATGTGTTTCTCATTCACCTATTCACACACACATTATCACACCAATGGCGACAGAGCTGCCATGCAAGGTGCTGCCTTCCATTGGGAGCAACTTTGGGTTCAGTGTCTTGCCCAAGGACACTTCGACTGTGATGGGGCTGGGGACTGAACCGCTAACCTTGCGATTGAAGGACAACCCGCTTCTACCACCTGAGTCACAGCAGATAATGTTCACTCCTCTATAAATCTATAAAACATCTTATTCACAGGATACAAGGCAAAAAAAAAAAAAAAAAAATCTGTTGCAGACAGTAGGAAACCAATATAATCCAGCTCGTCTTTTTGGAAACCGTAGGATACTATGCAGGTAAAAAAACAAAAAACAAACAAGAATACTTAAATCCTTCATAAGTCTGACTTACATTTTTGATTGAACATATATCTGACTCCTTAGCCTGTTCTCTGTGGAAACAATGCTATATGTGACATTAGGAGTACTAAACTTGCTTAAGTTGTCCAAACAAATAAAACACAGGGAGGCGACGAGCAGGTTCCACACTTTTGATGCTAAGCACGAATTACAGTCTGCATTTGAATTGCAGCTGGGATGTCACCAGTGCAACTAATTTCTACACGAAATCCAGATGCTTCCTCAGACGAGAGGCAAACAAAGCAGCATTATCCAAGTATTATCATTGTGAAAGTTTTGCTTGTGGAAACAGCGCTGACAGTTCAATATATTTATTCTGCAGATAAACTTTATATGAACTGTGATTTACATGTTAGCACAAACATATTTACTCTTTTTGTTTCACTCTGTCTCAAACAGTGACAAAATAAGTGAAGGAAAAGTAAAGATATCCAAACAGTTAATGAGCTGTAGAGGTCAGTACTTGTTTGACCCGTAAATAAACTTTTACTACTTATATTTGTGAAACACTGCTGAAAAAGGAAGCAATAATCTAAAACCATATATAATATATATTGTATTTTTTTTCTTTACCATTATTGTCACATTATTAAACATATTTTTCTGAGGACTTGGTTACCTATAGCAACAGTAGATGTGGAATCAAGTAAATGAACAATAAACTAGGTGCACACCAATGCTTGAACATAACTTTGCAGTCATTGCATATCCTATTACATTGCGATTAACATCTAGAATATACACTACATCGCAGTATTTTATGGTGTATAATATGGCATTTAAAACACATGTTGGTGATTTAGGTTAGCTACTAACAGTAAGACATCCTCTAAAATACAACAATGTGATTTCTTGCTGAAACAACTTGAGGTGTGCTTGATACACTCGACATTTTTATAGTCTCAGAAGTGGGCGTATCATCCTAGCCAGACAAAATCAAGTACTCCTTAATCCCATTTAATATATGAAACATATTCAACCTACTATGCATGTCTGCTATCCATAAATAAAAGAAAGGCAGGCTGCCACCACTGTCCTGCTTTGCTTTGAAGAGCAGCAGATTCAGAGAAATCTGTTTTTCCTCAGAAGGCAGTGAGGACCTCTGTGTTCCTCCCTCAATGGTTTTCATGCACTCAATCTGAACATTACACAAACCAGGCTTGCCGTGCCTGCTGTGAAAATCTAATCTTCACCCAATCTTCCCATAACAAAAGGAAGAGCGCTAGATGTTCTCTGTGGACTTGTTTTTGCTATAGTTCTATGAGTCTATGTAAAGACAGGCCCTCATAAACAGGCTGATCATAAACAAAGGCTTAGTCAAAGTAATAAGTTTGCCAAACTGGCTAAAAACAGATAACAGTTCTATCATAAATAAACATAAAAGGAAGCAGTGCGTACATTTATAGCTTCCAAATCTTTAAGGCTGTGTGTTTGCTATGGCGATAAGCTCGCATTGTTCAGATGTTCTTACTGATAGCTTAAGTTGGACTACAGCTTGTTTTGGTAAACAGACTTTACAGGCCTTCAGCTCCCATGAGCCTCCAGTGTTACTGACAGAGATGGAAGGCAGCCACAGCAGTTGAAAGGTTCAGGCCACAAACAACATGCAATTAAAAAAAACAAAAAACAAAAAACAAAAAAACACAATCAGAGATCAAAAGAATATTTAACCGGTTAGTATTAAAGTGGTGATGATGTAATGAGAAAGTTGAAGATAAAATAAAAAGATAGAGATCTATAAATTCAAACACCCAGCTTTAAGAATAGACTGATGTGCAGTGACAGTACTTACTGCTTTGGCAAAGACACCCATGAGCTCAGGGAACTGATGTGTGAGCATGGCCAGCATGGCAGTGAAAGAGCAAAGGCCTGCTGTGAAGAGGATAAAGAAGGGAAGCTCTTTCTTTGGGTACACAGACACCTCATGGAAAGCTGGAGCGAGGAGGAGAAGGAACCAGTCAGAAAAAGAGAGCGCCATAACCAGTGCACAGTTTAAAGCATGGTAGAGTTTTTGGTAGGTTAAGACTACTGTACTTACAGGGCAGTAGTTCCCTATCTGCTGTTTCTGTGCATCCTGGGTAGGGGTAAAACAGGTGACCCTTCTCCAGTGGGTAGGGAATTATTCGAAAGGCTGCAATGACAGACAACGATGCAAAAGGGGAAACTGAATCAAGACGAATAACACACCATAAAACTACGCATTCTGCTTAAAACAGCAGATACAATTTTTAGTAAATCTTCTAAGATACACATAGTGACAAGAAACTGACATTCTGATAAATATAACAATAACATTCTACTCGTGGGGACTGATGATCTCATTCTCTTAAAATCACAAGTGGAGTATTTGTGGGTGTGCTGTGCATACATGACCTATGACACAATAAGAGAAAGAGCAGATTACAAGGAGCGCAATTTGATTCGGTATCGGCTCGGCTACATTAGCGATAAATGTGACTTGCAAACAGACACAAATTAAAGACTATTAACTTTTAAAAGACTCAAATAAACAAGTTTTTTCAGAAACTGACATACATAAAAGAAAACAAACAACAACAACAACAAAAAACACCCCAAACACACACACGATATCTAAGGATGTGGTGAAATCGGAGGGGTAAAAGTGACACATACTGCCTTCCCAGGTGCAGTGTAGTAGGTTTAAGGCTCCTTCTGCTCTCTTCCAGTGCTGCAGGTGGAAGAAAGCGTATGCCACTGCCTCGCTGTCACCCCTCTTCAAGATGTGCTCTGGAGGCAGGATCAGGCTCTTCATCTCTAATAAGTACTACAGACAGGAAGTGAAAGAAACACAAGACTTCCGTTCAGTGCCAGTGCCCTCATTGATCACGCCTCAATGGCCTGGAAATTGTAACTGTTCTGTCTTGCCAGTCTTGCCTCCTCGCGTGTTCAGGTGCTCACAGAATATAAACTCAGACTGCTGTAGCGTCCCTGCTCTAAACTCAGCTGGGGATATATGCCATCCCACCGTCTCGCTGTTTCTTGTCACTCTAGACAGTCGTTCATCGTTTGATGGCAAAATGCAAGAAACACATTAAAAACACAAAAAAAACCACCAAGAGACGCTGATGTTTTTCTCAGATATTTGACAAACCACACCACCAGCTAAAACCCCTGTGAATATTTACATTCTTACATTTGACAGGTGGTGAGAACGTGGACACAGATGGGATTTTGCTTTGTTTGCGCTCAGTGAGAAGCACATAACTGTTTGCTGAGTCTACACTGTGCTGATGTAAGTTTGGGGTTAAAAAAAAAAAAAAAGTCTGCCCCTTGTGGTCTACAATCACTCCATGCAGCTTTAATGATTTCATTCACATTATCTACTTGTTTCTCAGTCTGTACTTTTCTTACTCCTTCCTATTGTGCAATTCCCCCTGGCTAACTCCCTGCAGACTGAAAACATATTTTCTTCATGTGAGGTATTTGTTGAGAGCCTTATTTTGCAATTGTTCAAGGTGGGAGGGAAAAGCTTTCCAAAGCTGTGTGTGTGTGTGTGTGTGTGTGTGTTATTGTTACAGTACAGTACATTCATTCCATGAATGTGTAACATCCCCCGCTCACCCCTCCTCGCTTTGCCTACTGTGTAAGTTTGTCCCAGTGAGTCAGTTGGTTCACCCTGCTGACAAAGGCCCATATCCCAGAACTGTAACCTACAGAAAAGGCAGTCTTTTTTTAAATAACACAGAACAAGCATTTTATGATAACATGAGTACATCAAGTATTGCCTTTTTTGCAATAAATACGAAGTAAAGCCAAGCTTTGTCAGCCAAGAAGATGCATCCTGACACTGATAAACCTGCCACTCTATGTAATTTATCTCTGGGGTGCCCAGTGTGGCAGGAGTCTGTGTTAAACAAAACCCATGTGCGAGGCTGGGGCCCCCTGGGCTGTATTCCCAGGCGGCCAGCTTCATAGTGCTCTGGATCTCAGACTGACACTTTGGGAAGGTTACCCCACAGCTAATCCTGTCTAATCCCCTCCATGGTCACAGGCTCAGCCAGGCAGCCATCCATCCATCTATCCAGCCAGCCGGACCATGCTGCTTCACCCATCTCCCCCGCCTTAGCCCCCCATCTCCACCCTCGCCCCCATGATCACAGAACGCCCAGGCTCTCCAACCTGGCTCATCCTTGTCTTTCTCCAACTCGTCTTCACATGCCTTAAGCTTGTTAGACAAGAGGACTGGTGTTCATGGACATTTTTCTCACAGTCCCAACACCTACTTCCCATCCTGCTACCTGAACAAACTCACATCACCACCAATCTCTTGGTAGCCTATTCTCCCTCTTTCTTTTTTCCTTATAATGCCGTACACTTAAAATTGTAATGCAGTGTATTTAATACACCCATGTCATTCGTCAGTCTTCATCATCCTCACTTTCCTCATTATTACAGGATCAGTCCACTTACTTTACCTAATGCAGTGCTGAAGTCATTATCAACAGATATTTATTGTTGATACGTATCTGTGCAGAGCGTTTCACACCTGTGCTACCTCTGCCCTATACCAGCTCAAGAATCTCTCACATTCAGGGGTAAAAGCTCGATAAAGCAGAGCAGCCACCACTAAAACTCTACTAAAGCGATCTCTATCTTCCCCTATCAACTAGCTTTTCCTCTTTCTGACCGAACTTCCTCTTTTGTCATAACAATAAGCAACTACAGATAACTAGAAGATGCTTGTTTGCTGTTTTTTTTACTTATATACTGACATTGATTGAATGCAACATTGAAAAATGATCAAATGATTCTGTGCAGTACCTGGGTCTTTTAAATTTTTTTGAGAAAAATCTGTAAATATTTGTACCGCTACATTAATCTGTCGCTTATAATGAGTGTATGGCACACTGTGTAGGTCTGGCTCCTCTGTGTTTTAAGATTAACCATTTAGAGAGACTGGCTGCTCAGCTGTCCTTCCTCGCATGCCATGGCATTAGACCTGGTGACACCTCAGTCACCCCCCCCCCACCTCCCTGTTCTGCGGTCTTCTTCTCCACTCCCTGTCGCCTCTTTGATGAAGGGATTGAGTTTCATGTGTTCTCCTTTTATCCCTGGGCAGTCATAAGCCCAGAGCATAACTCATAAGCTTTCTTCTGAGTCTAATCTGCGGCACTTGGCCTCTCACAATGGGACACACAGGCAACAATGACATCAGCCTTGTAGTTGCTGTACAATTGTTGGGCCTTCACACGTGTACAGTGCAGGAACATAAACAAAAACAGGTGTCGGAGTTAGACAACTTACCAAGAAATATAAGAATTTCAACAAACGGTGAACACTGCAACCTCATCCATCTGCTACAACGAGAAAGGAAAATAGCAAAAAGCTCGCAACATTTGTCCCAAAGTAGGCAAATCTTAAACTATGGTGCTATTCCTGTAACTACCCCCTTTTTTGTTGTCTGCATCAAACCTCATCCATCTTAATTCCGAACAAACCTAAGACTGCTTCTCTGTCTCAATTTACAAACCAAATAGGCAATTTCAGAGGTACACGGAGAAAAACTCTGCATTTCTGAGCCTTGGCAGGCAATCTAGATGAGAGAATGTCAACCAGAATGGGGTGAGATAAGAAACTGCCGTCCAAAGTGGAGTAAACTAGCAAGGTAAATGGGATCGGGCCGTCCTGACTGCTTTAAAATGAATGCGTATGAACCAAAATGGTTGTAAATGTAAATGTAAAGCAGATTTAGGCAGCAGGAACACTTGATCAGCTATCCAAGCATCTGGGAAACTGTCAGTTTCTTAACCACGGGCTGGCAGAGAGGCTAATTGGAATGGACAGACAGATGGAGAAATGGGTGGAGGATAAATACAGGAGGACAAGAAGATGAGGAGAAGAGCAAAATAGACGGGAGCAAAGGAGAAGAGGAGGAAATTAGAGGCAAGATGGAGAGCTGGTGAGGAAAAGGGAAAAGGGGTGGTGTGGGAGGACAGTGTGCACTGAAACAGCTGTGTGTGTGTGTGTGTGTGTGTGTGTGTGTGGCCTCTTGAGCAGTTTGAATGAACTCATGTGATGTAGCCTTGCATGATATTCATATATAATCTGCTTGGCATGCTTGATAACACACCCAGCACTTAATGCACCACTTAATGCTCGGCCTAACAATGTTCCCTCAGTACTCCACCTTTTCAAGGGTCCCACAGGCTATTAAGGTTGTTTTTATTAACCATGCTCTAGGGATGGCAATGTAAGTATGTCGATAGTCTTTTCACCACTTTGGTCCAGACGGAAATGGGTGGACTGCTATGAAATTTGGTATGGATATTTATGGTATACGGAGGATAAATCTCTCTGAGTTTGGTGATTTTCTGACTTCACGTAGCACCTACAACAGGGCAGGATTTTCATTTATTCTGACAAGTATCTCAAATATCTAGTGGATTTTGGCACTGATCAACTTTTCCTCTAGTGTCACCAGCAAGTTGACATTTGTGGTAAACAGAGAAATGCTACACTGCAACAACTATATATTGCCATGTAACTTGGTACAGACTTTCCTGCCTCCTTCAGATAAATTTAAAAAAATTGCAGTGATTCCTTAACTTTTCATCTAGCACCACCATCAGGGCAAAATTATATTTTTTTCAATACTCTGATTTCGCAAAAATTAATGACATTCCTGTCCGCCTCAGCTGCACTTCCTTTTTACATGTTAGCACTGTAATTGCAAGCAGGTTAAAATAACATTTTTACAGCATCATTTGCACAAACTTCTATTTTTCTGTCTTTACTTGAGGTTAGAAAACATCCCATTCACACTTAGTTGCACACGTTCACACCTGGAAGCTGCTCTGTACAAACACAGTCTGATCTGCTCAGCAGTTCCACATCAGCAGCTGGGGGGATTACGTTGTTGCTTAAGGGCACCTCAGTGCTAGAAATGAGGAAGAACAAGTGCTGCTGTTTCACTTTTTCCCTATTGAGATCAAACATTCAATTTTTCCTTTTATGAGATCATTTCTGTAAACTTTGGGCCGTGACAGTTGATCATGACTGAGAAATAAAGTAGTCCAAGCTACTCCACTCTGAATGCCTTATTTCAGTGCAACACTAAGATTTGTTATAGATTCTTTATAGCAAAACAAACATATATGAATTCTGCTACTAAGCCATATGTGATGCATCGACTGAGGCTGAAAACAGAGAGCTTAACAATTAAATTTCATTCCTCATCATTACCATCTACAAGGAAACAACAGGTCTTAAATAAACCACCTTAAAACCAATTAGTGTAAAAATATGCAACTTTTTATGCAATAAAGTGTTTCTAAGCTTAGCTGAAAGTAATATGAGGCTTCAGCAGGATGAGTAAGTCAGATTAGGTGGATATCTTCCAAATATAAAACCTTCCAACTTTGCGTTTCCTTGGGCAGTTTTTCTTTGTTGAGCTGTTGCAGAGGAACAGCAGCAAAAATGGCGAATTAAGCACCACAAGACTTACCATAAAAAAAGAAGTAATTTGACTTAGAGTGTGGAGGCTACATATTTAGTTTATGTAAACTCTGAAATGCATTTTTACATTGAACAATATGTTTTTCTGCCATTGATTACGATGAAAGTCGATTATGAAATATTTTTTAAAGGCCAGGGCTGCAAGGTAGCTCAGTGGCTGGCACCGCCGCCTCGCTGCTAGAAGGTCGCCGGTTCGCGTCCCAGTGAGGACACCGAGATCTTTCTGTGTGGAGTTTGCATGTTCTCCCTGTGCAGCGTGGGTTCTCTGGCTTCATCCCACACAGTCCAAAAGCATTTTGAGGTTAACTGATCATTCTAAATTGTCAGTAGGTGTGAATGTGAGTGTGCTTGGTTGTCTGTCTCTAAGTGTAGCCCTGTGATAGACTGGCGACCTGTCCAGGATGTCCCCTGCCTTCACCCTAAGTCAGCTGGGATAGGCTTTAGCCCCCCTGCTACCCTAGTGAGGATTAAGCGGTGTATAGATAGATAATGGATGGATATCAAAGGCCAATATGAACAGGAATATGATTACAGCAACCACAATCAGGTTCAGTGTACATATGGAATGTTATTTTTAGACAGACCCATGAACCCATCCTTTAAACATGAATTTAACTTTTAATTAGTTGATGGAAACTTGATGGTATGATATTGCCACAGTACACACCAGCCTCTCCACTAGTAAGGAACCAAAGAGTCAGATCCATGAGACAGAATATTGGTGCAGAATGTCATGCTTTGAATCTGCTTTTAGTGACAACAGGCCAACCCAGCTAAAAAGGCCAGCGTCACAGGTGCACTCATCATTCAGACATGCCAGAGAACACAAAGCAACACCCCCTCCTCCCCGCTGCATTTCCATATCCAGCGCTCTGCTATGAGAGCGCTGGGTATGTACCAGATTCCAGAGTCAAACGTTGAAAGACGAGCCCTCCGATAATCCTCTATGAAAGGTGTGTTAAAATTTCATAATGTCATTTAGCTATTCACCTAAATTCAAAGAAGTCATTTTAACAAAGTTGGCAGCAGTGGTCATATTGAGACAGTCTGCTTGGCTCAAACAGGGGATGAGAAGGGATAAGGGAACATGAGAGGATAAGAAACAGGATGAAGGTATGTGATGAGAGGAGAGAGGACGGCTACCTCTGAGCAGGATGAGAAAGGAGGAGTTGGAAAGACATTGAAGATGAGGGCCCTCAATTTAAAATCAAAGGCTGGATCAAAGTGCTGGCTGACGTCTCCCACCTCCATGCATACAAACACACCGATTCTCTTTCTCTTTCTCTCTCAGAAAAGGAGTCTGTGAAATGAAACAACACCACACTACAAAGGCTAAACTGGGACAAAACTCTGCTGCAACTGGTTGTGCATAAATCTGTGTGTGCATGTGTGATATCTAATCCTGTGGGAACTGATGTGAAAGAAGAGAAAGATATTCAGCTGCAGTCCCATGTTGTCCCTGCTTCAGCTCTATGCTGAGCTGCACTGACTTTACCACTCAGCTCTTTACCCAGCTCTGACCAATCTGTCATAGTAACACATTGTGAACCTTTCTTATTACCCAAATTTTACACAAAAACACCTAATACAGGCATGATTCTTAAAATACTATATTGTCTCATAACAGGAAAAAGTTAAGTTGGTTAAATTCAATTCAATTCAATTTTATTTGTATAGCGCATATTTACAACAACAAGTCATCTCATAGCGCTTCACAAAGGCAGAGACAGAAACACCCAACAATCCAAAACATTTGGATTCCCTATAAGCTTCAGCAGTCCGCAAGCAGTCCGCAACAGTGGGAAGAAACCGAAAACCCCCACTAAATATGCCTGTCAAATATATGTGTACAATATATATTTCAAAAAACTACAATAAAATATCTCAATATCAATATGACACTAGTAAAACCAAGATGACGCGGGTAGAAAAAGAATTGCAAAAGTAGACACAAACTCCAATCCACAGTTGACACTAAAGGTGAAATAATGTTTGTATAAAGACCCATACTGACATCTCCTGGTGAGCGGTAGCATGTCTGGATTAAAAGCAGCTCTAGTTGCACCACCTGGTATCTGTTGTCTGGTATGTGTGGTATGCTGTGTTTGTCTTTTCCTTCCTTTTTAGAATCTTTCCTTCTCTTTTTAAATAATTTTATATTTGGTTTAGACTTTTTTTCTCTTTTATTTGTGTTATTTAAATGCTTTTATACCTCTGACTTGATGCACTTTGCTGTTTTGCACTTGAATAGGTTTGCATACAATTTCGTTGTAAATGTAAAAGGACAATTAAATATATTCTATTCTATTTTGTAGCAGGACAACATAACTTGTCCTTGATTTTTCCGACTGATTGTTTACCTGTCTGCCCACTTTGCTTGTTTGCTCTGCATGAAATTTTATACAACTGTCATGTGACTGAGGATTAGACTAAAAACAAAGCGTGATAAAAATCTGTCCAAATCTGGATGATTGTTTAAAGAAATGTTAGCTAATACTCACCAGAGAGAAAGGTTTGTGTGGAGGTGGAAAGAGAGGTTGTATTTGAAAAAATAAATGTTAGAGGACAGACAGTGTAATGATTATTCGGTTAATAATTTTAGTGGAAATTTAATACCAATTCTCAGTTTAATGCCACATGTGAAAGACGGATGACTCACTGATAAGCCAAGCCACATCTTGACGGTTTTTCATTTATGGGCCAACATCCCCTGATGAAGTGATCAACAGGTTTTAAAGGCCCACAGATGCTGTCAGACTAACCTTTGGCACATGTGGATTGAACTCCACGGCTCTGTGAATGGCCTCCACAGCATTCATTTCTGCTGTGCTTAACCCTCGCCTGGATGCCGCCTCTGGAGAGAACCTGAGACAACAAACCTCATATGAAACATTGCTGCAGTTAGTGCAGCCACATATAACAGTTTCACCTTTAATAGATACACATAGTAAATTGTATATATGGTTAGTGCAATCAAAAGACTACATACTTATCTGAAACAGCCCGTGCTTTCAACAGTGCAGATGTATAGCATATAGTGGCTGATTTTGGCAAGCTGATGTCTAAATGGAAACAGAAAATGTGACATAAGTTTTTTCTGCAAATGCAATGATATTTACATAATGTGTATAAATTCATGGGACGATGATGTCTAAGAATAGTTGTTGAGTCTCACCATCATATTTTGCAAGGACTGCTTGGACATCAGCATATGCCTGAAGCTCCAGAAGTGCCTCCAGGAGGTTTTCATGTATATTTAACATTCCCAATAAAGGGAACTCTTTCATTAACTGTGAAGAGATAAAACATACTGCACTGTCTATTGTTTTAGATAAAGGAAATCTGATATACACTTCAGCAGAAAATGATTATAGGTTATTACGTTAACAGAGACTAGTTTCTGAAAGAAAACTCACATCTCTCATCATTTTTACTGCTTCTTTGATGCGCCCCAGCTTGCGTGCACACATTGCCAGTCTGCGTTTAATGTACACCAGTAAGTTGACATCTTTTCCAGCTGTAGATCACAAAGAAAAAATATGTTTCATTAGGAAAAAAAGCAATTACCATTCTAGGGAAATGTGAAAAAAGAAGGCCATGGTTACAATTATAATAAGACCTCAGACCTAAAGAACAACTTCACACTACATCTTGTGTAGAGGAAAGGCAGCAATGTCAAATTGCACTTGTGATCACAGCCGTCATCTCAAGAGGGTATAGACGGTTATAGTCTGTTGTATCCAACTATGATGTGGTGTTTCAGAACTGCACTGCACAGGGTGGGGAAGAGCCTTCAGAACATGCAGTATTAATAGACTCAGTGGAAGAACTATTTACCTAGTTAGCTATCTAGAAGCTACCATACAATAATAGCATTCAAATCATCCTTACCAATACTTAATGCTTTTTTGAAGAGGCGTTCAGCTTCTGTGATAGTTGTGGCTTCTTCTTCTGCTAGAAGAACATAAGCTGCAGCACATCTACACACATAAAAATGAAGACACAAGAGGTTTACAGCTGTTCATCCTCATTAGGTTTTCCTTTGTGGTGCGCAATAGAACAATATTTATATTTGCATGCACATCAAAAATGAAAACAATATAATAAAGGCAATAACTTGAGTAAGACATTGCCCATAAAAAGGCCATAATATCAAATCAAATCAAAATCAAATCAAGTTTATTGTCATTTTGCTGTACATACACAGTAGTACAGGCAAGATGAAAGTTTCTTCAGGATCATTTAATTTGTAAGTTTTGCGGAATGCACGTCTGGGATAGGCAAGACACTAAACGTTCACTCTCGCTGTCTCCTGAAGGGGCCTCTGCGTCTATGCACACCGCCATCACGGATTATTATAATTAATATAATAAATATAATTATATTATTGCATTATTATTGCTGATTATATTCATACAACATTTAAAACTTAGCTGTACACTCTCAACTGCACATTTTAGAAGACGGGACTTAAGATGGTGTATAAGGTACAAGTAAACATCAATGCATCCAATTTATCGGGCATTGTATGATACTGTGTTCTCAAATATTAATATAACACTTGGCAAAAAAAGTTGTAAGTATAAAACAGACTCAACAGATGTCTTCAAAAACTGCTACTAATATTCATTTTAGAGCTGCAGCACCATCCTCAAAGTGATACAAACACATTTTTACTGGCTTATCCACAAGTTGGGTTACCTGTAAATTACTTTCTCACACTATCCACTGATGGCAATGTGATTGTAATGCAGGGTCATAGCAATGCAATTTAGCACTGATGCACTTACAGAAATGTACTATTTTGACCTTTCATATTGTCTTTCTGAGCTGTGGGATGTTTACTGTTATGTATGGAGATGATATTATGTATGTAGTAGAAGAACTTACTCGTGGTTCATTTCTATGGCCTGGTAAGCTGCTCTGATCCGTGCTTGAGGATTTCTTTCTCTCCAGGCCTTCTGCATCACTGTAAGAAGATGATGTGCTCAAGCTTAATATAGATGAGACCATACAATCCTGATATATGAAACTATGAATGAATGGAAAAAAAATTCTGCCATATGTTGCATGCATGCATTCTGCATGAATTTTAACTTTTCCCCCTCTTTTCTAAATCATTACAACTCACCAGCATCCTCTGGCCTTAACTGTTGAGTGTCTCCTGTGAAGAAGGTCTGATGATCTTGAGCAGACAGGTTCATATCATAGTATGTTAAGGGTTCCTTCCCAGTCACCCAGGTGTACCTGTAGTCCAAAGGGTAAAAAAAAAAAATAGGTTGCATTTTTTGGTCCACAGTGAATAAAACAAAACTGAAGTAAAGGTGAAATAAGCCATTATAATCCAATACACTTTCAGTCAAATGTGACAAATATCTGCTCACAGTTCGCTAGCTGGGTGTTCTGTGTGAGCGCTGAAAAAAAATCTTTTGTACACAGCTCTGGCTCTGTAATTGGAAAGAACCAAACTGGCTCAGACTGATCCACAAAACACTATTCCAGTCCATCAACAATGGGGAGTGTCGTTGTTATGCACAGGCATAGGCCACGTACACAGGACATCTCTGTGAATCTCTGCACTTCTTCTGGAATATAGATTTTAAACCACTGCTCTCCCTTCGTATTTGCAGTGAATGGGTTTTGTGCTGCAACAGCTTGTAGCACAGGTGTGAGGAACAGTTGAAACAGCTCCTCTCCTTTCTGTTTTTGAGGGAAATGGTCAAGCAAGAAACCAGTTTCAGCCCCACCAGGCTTTGCTTCTTCATTCCAAGACACAGACTCCGTTCCTCTCCCAACATGATGAGTAGACTGTGTCTCAAGCTCCCCCGCACAGCAACTGCAACCTGAGCAGGCTTCACCGACAAAAGGATGATTTTCTCCCAGCCAGTAAAAACAACCCAAACAACTAACTACTACTACTTTGCGTTTTGGATGTTGTGTTTGTGTGTTTACATGTTGTTCATTTCACATTGTTTTAAACTGTAATGTTTGTTCTGCTTCAGCTATGGGAAAGGGACATCCACTTCCACACCATACATGGCGGGAACAGTTCTGTTTTGGTCAGCTGGCCTCGATGTACGCGTTGTTACCATGGCAATCTGTGTGCAATGGGGTATATTTGTTTGGATGTACCTAGCTAAGGAATGACTTACTCCACCTTTAATTTTCTTATCCCAAAGACACAGTGTGTTTAAGAAGTTGTGCATTTTTCTAATTACTTTACATCATTACAGCATCACTTTAAATACTTCTGATGCATTCTTACAGCTAAATATCTGAATCACTCTCTGAAACCCACACATACCTGTTATACTCTGCTCCTCTGAAAAGATTCAAAGGATTCCTCCAGACCTTGCATTCTATCAAAGAGAAGACACTGTTGTTAGTGCTCATTTCTGAATAGTACTGCTGTTATAGTTTGTACTATATTTACCTGAGACACTGGGTCTGGGCTCTGCCTCTCCATTGACTGATGAGAACAGACCAGTCGTGGAGCTGCTCTCTACTCCACCCAGCAGAGGACGCAGGTGGCTCACTGACACTTGTTCGATGAACGAGGTCCCATATTTACGAAAATACCACCACTCAAATATCTGCGGTGAGAACAGGTATGGTGAGAGCATGTTTTTTAAAAAGTATACAATGAGAAACAATTACCAGTTATCTGTTTGTGGCAACTGTTATCACATCACTAGACCAGCCGTTCTTAAATGTTTTTCTGCCCCCATTAGCAGCAAAAACACAATTCAACTAAAGCAACTTAAACTCTGCCCAGATTGCCATAAACACAAAGGGCTCAGTCACAATAATGACAAAGAACTCAAGGGATAGATAAGTTGACATTGTGTTTTTTTTTTTGGGGGGGGGACCATAATTTTCTTTTCCTCTCTGGCAAAAATCCATCCATCTTGTACATTACCTGTCATCTTTCTGTCTGAATAATTTTGGTAACACAACTTTCACTTGCCTTGTCAGCAAGAGAGCACTCTTATTTGATTATTTCTCCCAAATTTCTCCCAATCAGATTTATTCCACTTGCTCCACATGTTATCTCCCCTTGGAATGGCTCCCCAATTTAGAAACCAATGCCCCAGATAAATGGCTGATATTTGTGATCCCCTGAATACAGAAACTGATTTTCATTAGGGTTAAATAATTATAATACACAATACTTAAATAGCGCTTTTCAAGAAACTCAAAGACGCTTAAATAAAATTTTTACATTTAAAAAAAATGTTTCTCCAAAAATAAGTCCTCCATGCATGCGTTCTTGCGATCTTGGATTCCTGAATAGCAATTTGGTATATTATCGCAACAATTAAAAAATGTTCTTTTTATATAATTTACAGCATAAAAACACCAAACAGAGGTATTTATGAGTTGTCTTTACTTCTAGCCATAATTGCTCTGTTTCCATAGAGGGGCAGGACATTACATTGTAGTGAAAAATGAGCCCACAGGAAGTAAAAATGCGACTGGACCAAAAAAACACAGAAACTGTTTGGGGCCCAGAGGGTTAAAATCCAGGCAATTTTGCAACTGATTCCAAGCAAAAGCGGTAGCGTATTCAAACACTCTTTTTTTGCCGATTCAATATGAGATCTGGGAACAGATGGCAGGAATAAGATCTGGGAGCAAAGACAATAGCTATTGTTTTGTCTCATACAGATCCATAGATATGAAGAAGGAAGCTTAATACAATAAATAAAAACATGCACATGATTAAGTCTACTAGTGGACATCCAACTCAAGCATGCAATAGTAAGTAAAACAAAATGATTTTGTAGTAAACCTCAGTGCTTCATGGAGGCTGTATCCAATGCATCCATGCATATATATGACATCAGCATAATCAGCACAGGCATAAAGAAGGTGGCAACAAGCCTATTTTGAGCCTTAAAACACTTTAACACACACTAACACAAAGTTAACTGTAAAGAAAGAAAAATAATTTCAACTTTAAAAAAAAAAAATTTAAGCATTTGCTGGATGCTAGTTGGGTTGCATGGCGGATCAGGATTTGGCACAGTCACCTCACAGCTAGAGTTAGGTTAGGACGCCTGGCATCTTTCTGTGTAGAGTTTGCATGTTCTCCCTGTGAAGCTTTGGCTTCCTCCCACAGTCCAAATACATGCTGAGTTTAATTGGTGATTCTAAATTGTCTGTAGTTTTGAATGTGAGTGTGATTGCGATAGACTGGCAACCTGTCCAGGGTGTCCCCTGCTTTCGCCCTAAGTCAGCTGCTGTGACCCTAGTGAGGATTAAGCAGTGTATAGATAGTGGATGGATGGATGCTAGTTGTAAAAGAAAGTGAGTCAAACACAACTGCTAGATATTTATATTAGGATGCACACTAATTTACAGAGCTGTGACAAGTAGTGAAACATGGACTGTCAAGTGGCTTTGATTGTGCATTTGAGAAAAAAAAAAAGTTTGTCATAATGCATAAAAAGAAATTTTAGTCTGGTATGTTGCACTGTATTGAATGCTACATGCCCTGAGAAAACAGTCTGATTTGATATTAATTATTAATTACTGAAGTGATAACTCACAAGGATGAGTCCAGAGATGAGGGAGGAGGTTCCAGTGAGAGCCACATAGAACTTGGGTGTCAGTGTATTCAAAAACACTGAGGCTGGAAGAAAAAGAAGACACAGTTAGATTAGTATCATAACTACAGCTGTCATCTGCTGCGACCATGTAGGAACTGGTGCGATGCCAGCAGAAAGAAATGCTTGTCTTGGTGAGTTGTTTTTACGAGGTGACACTTCTCGCATATTAAGCTCATAGTAGCAAACTTAGTGACAAGATTAAACTGCTGAATATTGACTGTATTCAGTTCGCGCTACGGTGGGTGAAAAGGGCAGCTAATGTCTGCCCACATATATTAAAACACTCGACTTAAATTTAACTAGAAAGCCGACGCTGTCTGCGTGTCAGTCACTCGGACAGCGAGCTGTCAAACGAGCAGCTCCCGCTGACTGCCAGCTAAAGCCAGATACCCGAAGGCTAACAATAGCTAGCTAGCAGCTGCCTTAATTCACCTGAGGTAAGAGTTTCCTGCAGTTTCAGCGGACTCCACAGGACGTATATCATAATCAGCACCATGCCGAACCAGATGAAGCACACGTATGTCCATGACCAAGAGAGCCAAGACTTCAATTTCTCTGTAAATCCGAGAGATTGAGGATTACTGCCAGTGGTGTCCTCCATGTTTCTCCGGATGTCTGTAAACAGAGGAGTCACGTGACCACGGAGCCATAGGACCTCTATTTTGAAATCGCTGCAAAAAAATATTTCTGGAGGCTACAGAAAAATATTACCTTTATGTTTCGGTATACTAATCCACTTTGTTTACTACTCGTCAAAAAATAATAAATATTAACAATAAAAATGCTATATTTTGTCAAATGCACGCTGAAATGTATTTATTTATTATTTAAACTCAAATCCAAGACATTTTAAATAAAAAATAAAACCACAAACTGATATTTTAAACAAATATTAGGGCTTTAACTAACAAATAAAAACATTAACTATAAATTATTACTATTTTTGAATTATCAAATAATGATTTTGTTTGTCAAATATTGAACAATATTTAAAATGAGCATCACAACTTTTTTAGACCTACCGGTAATGTTTCAAATTGTTTGTTTTGAGTAAGCAATAGTTAAAGCTATAAAAATGTGTTTTATACATATACATTTATGTGAAACAAAAAGACTGAAAAAATGGCCGAGATGTATTTTAAGTATTTGTTCCACCAAACTGTAGGAAGAATGTGATTTTGTAATGGTGCAGTGGCTACATAGTCATCCTTAACAGGGCCATGGTAAATTGATATATGGACAAGAAAATTAACATTATATCTATCAAATGTGCATTTATACGCAGTGATTTTTATTTGAAAGCTGTGTTTTTCTCCCCTCAGAATAAACCAGACAGTGATGGATGTGAGCTTCAAGTTCTTGAAGATACATTAATAACATAATAATAATAATAATAATAATAATAATAATAGTAATCAATCCTCTCAGCTATAAATGCTCAAAAAGTGTAGCTAGGATCTCTCACTAGCTCATTTCCCTGAATATTGTAGCCTGTATTTCTATTTGTGGCCAGTAAGTGGAGTCATTACGCCATAAAACTAATTACTTCTCTTTCCGTCCACTGACTGCAGGTGGAGACAATGTTCAGTTTTGTTTACTTCCTCATAGTCTCTGATTTCATTAGAGTATTATAGAAATTCATGTTTTCAGACATGCAAGCATGTTCTGTCATCTCTTTAACCTAATACGTTCTGTAAAGTAGTTTCATAATCATTTTTACAGGCTTTGTCTAAGGTAGAGAGTTGGTTTCAAGTCAGTATTCTGTTCCCATGATTTACATACCCAAAGATGTATATACACATTTTTGAAAGATTGTTATGGTAGAAGGCAGAAGTATATTTTTGGATGCGTAGATCTTGCAGCGCTTCTCACCTTGTGTGATTGACTCACATCTCCAAACCGGGCAGGAATAAATGTGATTTGTTGGAGTGCATTCTAGTTGGAGGTTACAGCCACTGAATGACAGAGAACCAGATTTGGTCCTACTCACACATGCCCTTGGGTGTTTTCTGCCTGATGCTGATGGACAAGAACACGCAGGGTTAAAGGCCTGTCATATAAATCAGGTACAATCACTTTCGAGGTGAAAACATGCATGATGCCACTGACAGGGGAGGAAGAGTAGGGTGGAAAAGAAAAGAAGAATAAAAAAAGGAAAGGAAGGAAGGAAAACAACATATTTGGTTATTTGGAGTGTATAGCATGACCTGTGCATCTGAATGTATTTTCAGATGAAATGATGTTTCAAATCAGTGACTCATTCGCTGCTAAAACATACATGTAGCCTCCCAGAAGACAGAAAATAGTGTTATCTTCTCTTGTATTCACACTGCAGCATATATATTGGTTAAATATTGAAAGAAGAAAAATAAAATATGTATTTCGATGATTGCAGGATCCATAGCAGAATTTTTGCATGCATTATAATTGCACATCTTAATGAAAAAATATTTATTAAAACAGAATAAAACTTGTATGCAGTGAAATGCAAATATAAAACACAGCATGCCTATAAAAATTGCAAACAATGGACAGTACGTTGGCACAAAGGGTGGCGTAACCTGTACACAGTCAGCCAGTGTCCAGCCATGCAGAAGCAATATCTCTCATCATTCTGCAGTCACCTGTATACTTAAGGTTCATTTACAATTTCACATCTGGTATCCATCCAACCATTCTGGACTTCATGTTCTGTTTATGTAGTTTCTTTCTTTTCTTTCACCAAAGCTTTTAGGAGTCCTCTAATCATACATAATTAATCAGAGTTTTCACTTAAATGCACTGCATTTCTCACTCTCATTATTACTTAAGAGGCTGCTCTTTAAAGCTTGAAAATACCTGGTGTTCTCTTGATCAGGTTGTTCACGTAGCAGGCTGTTTAAACAAATGAGGATTTATTAGCAGGATTTAAAAATGTATTTTAAAGCATCTCATACCAATGGCATAATTTCATTACTTTGTATAAAAAAATGTAATTAGATCCACTTCATTCAGTGAGACACTGTAGTAAAAGGGGGGGGGGGGGGGCAAAGACTTAGATAAAGTGTAACTTCAATAGGTAGTTTTCTTTGAGTACTACAGTGTGCATGAACATTTGACTGGTCGTTTGTCAGCTCTGCATTTGGTGGTCCCTGCTGATGGAAAACTTCAAACTTTATGAAACTGGTTCTTGTCTCCCACACTGCTTTCTCTCTGTGAGTTTATATTACTTGTCTCCATTAAGGGACTCTCCCTCCACAACTCATTTCTCTCAAAACACTTCATTTTCAGAAAATGTGTGCTCTTTTTTGCATCAGGAGAGCATGCCGTTTGACCACATCTGAAAGCAATGGTGCCGCAGAAAAATGACTTCCCCCATGACAGGCTCAGAGTCCACAGAGCAACATTTTCAACATTTTTGTCTGTACATCTATGAGGGCAAGTGGATACCCAGCACTCAAACAGCAGCAAAGAAGATAAATATCAAGGCTTCTGATTTACTTTTTAAATTTTTAATATCTCTATATTAAAACCACAGCAAAGTTCTCATTTATTAGAAAAGAATATAATGACTTTGTCTTGTGAAATTCTACTAATCTATTTGAATGTCAAACAAAACCCACAAAACATGAAGCACATGTAACATGGGAATGAGAACACAACACAGGGAATAACAGCATGAGTGCAGCAAGCTGCCCCTCATCCAGTTTGTAGCCTGGCTTTTTCATTGTATACAATTCCAGCCAAGTGTAGGCATAAATGGAAGAGGCAGAGATGAATAATACATAAGAGTCTTCATTTTTAGTAAAATCTAAGGCAAGGTGTACAGACAAAAAACACCGGCATTGTAGCAGTGTGTCCAAGTTGCAGGAGCTTGAAAGGTGTTACAGTGGTTTCATAAAGGTGTTAAAGTGTGCAATTGAAAAAAAAAAGAGTAATGAAAGACTTTTTACTAAAAATTAGAGCTGTGACGATAGAGAAAATCCCGTCTTTTTGATGTTAATAAGGCTGCTTGTGTTTCTGCTGTGAGAGGACACGTCTGACATCACAGCAAGTTTGAGGAATTGTGTCGACATTCTTTCTTTTCTTTCCAATGTTTTCTTTAAAAAGGAGAGCTTGTCAGTGTTGTGAAAGTAGATAATAAAAGTCCTAATCCTTAATCCCAACATAAACAGAGCTATAGCTACAATAAAACAGCACTACACAAATCAAAAGCAAAACATGATACAGAGACATATTTCCATCCTCAAATGAGCTCTCAGATCACCCTGACACTGTCACTGTGTAGATGTGAAATGTGCTGTTAGTGAAATGAAAAGAACTGTGTTGTGAATAACTGTACAGTAGGTTACAAACGTTGCATGTATCTGTAGCAACGGCATCACAATGAAATTGCAAATCTGAATAAAATTTATGTGGATGGAAAATACAAGACAGAGTCACTTGAACCCAACTTTTTGAAATGATCAGAAATCATCTTCCCAGATATTTGAATGTAAATCACAGTCATCAGTTGCTGCGATTACTGTTTCCTCCAAGATATGTACTTGTCATTATGTGGTACTCTAACACTATTTATATTATTTCTATTTAAAGTTCAGTCATTCAAATCATTCTGATCAAAAGTCTCAGTTAAATAATTAAAATACACTAGGAGACTACAACAAAGATAAAGGTTTTGTGAGGCTGAAGCACTGATGTTTTGCAGCAATACCAGGGTGCCATCTTTCTTTGGTGTGTTAAAATACAAACATAGAAAAAAAATATTATTAAAGTTTTACATGCAGTGTCGGAAAATGTTTAATTTTGACATGATATTGGTGCTAGCTGAGCAGAAGTAAGAGATAATTTAATTGATTGCAGTTTGACTTGAAGGACCAAGAATGAACTCCATTTCATGCTAATCCATCCAATAAAATGTAAAATTTTTGGCAAGCAGTTGTGGTTAACCTTTGGCACTGGTGCTGCAAATTTGCCATAAGGTCATAGTTTTATATGCAAATTAGGTTTGTGGGCAAACTTGTAGAGAACTTCTGTCTAACTTTGTGGAAAACTGAGCGCAAACAAGTTTTGCAGACGAGCAGATTCAAATCCACAACTTTCTTGTTGTGGGGCAACACTGGCCCATTATTCAAGTCCAGAGAAAATCAGTCTTGGCATACTATAAAAAATACATAAATTACAAATTTGCTGCAAACTTGATGCAAATATTCAACATTCCAGCAAACATAGTCCATCTACCACACTTTCAACAAAGTTAGCCAAAACTACACTACAGGTTTGTCACAGATCTAATTTGCATATGCTGCAGTTTTTACGACAGTTCACGACAATCGTTTAACAGAAACCATTATTGCCATACATGCGATCTATGGCCATGCATAAACTGACATGTTTGTCAGTCATGGAAAACTTGGTACCGAAAGGTTTGAAGAAGTGTAGCACTTACTGTGGTAACAAACCACTGGTAAACGTGTTTGTCAGTAGCTTCTAACTTCTCATCATTGTCAGAATGTTTCTGAAAGTTTGCCACTAGTGGCCAATACTAGCAAACGTGTGGCAACGTTTGCTGGAACACTAGTTTCTTTGCTGCAAAATAAAC